CAGTTGCAAACTCGACCTTGGGACTTTTATGCTGTGAAGTGTTTCGACTGCAGTTGAAACTTGGGACGGTACTGGACTGCAAACAAGCAGTTCGAAATGCATTTACAAACTGCTTTCGTGACTGCGCCCTAGTTACCCCTTTCTTTATTTTCTGGGACTCCAATAGGAATTATTGTGTAACCCACACGTGATCAGACAAAAGATCACTGGAAGATAACTTCGGTTTAAACCACCAGTACTGGCCCAGCTATGGGCCACCCAAAAAAAATAGAGTAGAAACATTTCTAGTCAGATGAATTTGGGCGCTCCTGTAGCAGCCCGTACGTTTCTTAAAATAGTGGTGCGTTAACGGGCACCGGTCTAGGAAGTACTTGTGGTTTAAACCTATAAATAAACATGGTGCACAACACCCTTCGAGGCTCGCCACACAGGCTGTTGAGAACCAGGTTTTCAACAATTTTGCATAGCCACACAGACTTTTGAAGAATTGCGGCTCAAACAAATTTCGACATCTGTCAGAATGATTCTTTGGACAGCTGCCCACCAGCAATCTTTTCCTCCAGCGTGCAGGTGATGGAAATTCGAACCTGGCCTGCTGATGTTTCAAAAATTGCATTCTATTTTGCCTTGTCAGGGCCTGTTCCGTGACACCCGTGCCCTGTCGAAAGGAGTCCGTGTGGCCACGACCAAAAACCTTGCCCCTCGAAAGCCTGTGAGGCGAAGGGGGGGTAAACTTTATTATTATTATTATTATTATTTTATTATTTTCTTTTTTTTACTTAGCAAGTTACTACGTCAGACTTAGGGGGGCTAAACTGTCGACCGCCGACTTTCAATTTTTTTCTGACACCTGTCGAAACTCTTTGCCCGTGTGGCGAGCCTCTATGCCTCCACAGCCCGCAATTGGTAGAGACGGCCGCCCCTAAACCCTATAGGTTTAAGACACTCAAAGCCATTTGGTTGGGTACAAAGACTATCGAAAAATGAATCTGGTACAAATGCAGTCACAATCAGGCAGGAAGAGAGTCAGCAGGCCGGACTGAATGCCCACCGCCAGATGTCAATATCAGACAGACTGAAATGCCTGTGGGCCCTCTTATACCCACTTGGACAACGCTGGGTGTGATAAACCCAATAAGTTTGCGGATGCGCTGTATCTACATGTGATTGGCCATCAATCTGACATGCCTGTAGGCCCTTGGCACCAGACGGGCAAACTTTCGGCGTGACAAACCCAGTAGGTTTTCAGATGGGCTAGATCTGCCTGTTAACCCCCTCCTGAGGTGTTTAGGTTGGGGTTGAGGTAAGAGCCGAGCTCGCCAGGGGAAGGATACCGCACGTGAGTGTTGAACAGGACCATCACGATTGATCACGATACCGCCGCTGATCTGCCGAATGGATGATCAATCAAAGCAGGAGGTGACATTGTCGGGACAGTAGACGGACCCAGTTGACCAATCGCCGAACACGAACAGAGAGCTCGCGATGGGTCGATTGATCGCGTGTGCTGTCTCAACGTTGTCACCGCATGTGTGTTTTTCGCTAGTATCAAATGTAACAACAAAACACACGTGGCACCGTGCACGAACGACCAACCGGGCGGCGAGCGACCGATGCATCACACTCGTTGATGTACCCCGACCGAACAGTAGACTGGTCAATAGATCCACCATGACCAACATCACTGAACGACTGTTCGGACTGCGGTCGGACGACCGGTTGATCCTGCAGTCCACCAACCATACAGCCGAAAGCGTGTTTGCGTTGCAATCGTGGCATCACCCTCTGCGCGATCGCCCAACCGGCAGGCGTACGACCGATCCAGCAACCGGTTGGCACGAGTAACTGATTAGTTGATTGATCGACTTTTCGGTTTGTGGTTGGCCAATTAGCTGATTGATCGGCCAGTCGCCGACCAGTGCACCGACATGCCAGCAGAGCGGTTCACTTTTCTCACCCCGATTGCACTGCATTCGACCTGCCTCCTCGTCCATTGGTCGTACGCAGCACGCAAGGCAATTGGTCCACCACACGGTAGAAACCCGTGAAAAAGGTCGATCCCTGTTTGGGAATGGACAAAAAACAGTTTGTGACAACCTTGTTGCACATCGAACGTTGCTGGCCATCGAACCTTGTCGGCCATCGAACCTTGTTTGGCATCGAACCTGGCGCCCCATCAAACCTCGGCGGGCATCGAAATGGTAGAAACTCGTGAAAAGGCGAGTTTGATGGACAACTGTGTCTCTCCCACGGCATTCCGCCAAGTTCGGATCCCAACGAACTTCAGGTTCTTGCCTTTCGTAAAACCCAACTCGAGTTGCAACCCCAGTGCACAACCACAACAGTGGCCCTATGAAAATGTGAAGTACGCCGGGATCCGAACTTCAAAAAAGAATGGAAAGGCGAGTTTGATAGACAGTTGTGTCTCTCCCATAGCATTTCGCCAAGTTCGGATCCCAGTGAACTTCAGGTTCTTGCCTTTCGTAAAACCCAACTCGAGTTGCAACCCAAGTGCACAACCATAGCAGTGGACCTGTGAAAATGTGAAGTCCGCCGGGATCCGAACTTCAAGAAAGAATGGAAAGGCGAGTTTGATAGACAGCTTTGTCTCTCCCACGGCATTTCGCCAAGTTCGGATCCCAGCGAACTTCAGGTTCTTGCCTTTCGTGAAACCCAACTCGCGTTGCAACCCCAGTGCACAACCACAGCGAGGGACCTATATAAATGTGAAGTCCGCAGGGATCCAATCTTCAAGAATGCACGGGATGGCCAAGTTCGGATCCCGGCGAACTTCAGGTAAGACATGTTTGCGGCTCGTCAGCTGGCCCGTGGATCCTAACTGTGCGTGCACGGTTCCTCGCACAATCCACAGGTTCGGACTCCGGCGTAATACGAACTCGTAAAAACGCATAGTCCGCCGGGATCCGAACTTCTCGCGCACGGTTCCTCGTGCAATCGTCAAGTTCGGATCCCGGCCCACTTCGCTTTCCGCATGGTGACGGTTCCGACTGTGGGATTTCTGGCGCGCGGTGGATTGTCAAAACTTCGGATACGTGAAAATCCGAAGTTCGCCGGGATCCGAAGTTGAAGCATGTTTGGGACGTCGAGTGGGAGAGACAACTTCGTCTCTCCCACGCAGATTCGACAAGTTCGGATCACGGCAAACATTGCTTTCCCGCCATTGGCGGGGCGTGTTACCGACTCGCCTGCTGCCCCGTGGATGTGACAAGCACACCAAGTCTGCTCGATTCCGGACTTCACGGCATTCCGAACCGGGTTTTCGAACGTGCACTTCCTCGACAACCGGAGGTCGCAAAAAGCAAAACTGCACAGTGTGACAACGGCGAATGATCACGTCGTGGTGGACCTGCCGCCTCGTGCGTTTAGGGCTGACATGACTCCTCCCACAATCGTCAAGTTCGGATCCCGGCGAACTTCGCAGTTTCGCATGACGCGAGTTTTGCCTGTGTTCTTTCTGGCGTCCGACGACTTTTCGCAACGACATAAGCTCGCCGGGATCCGACTCCGCGTTGTGCCCGTCTTGGGAACCGTGATGGTTCTCCGAGTGCGGCCTGTTAACGTCGACCGCCAGTGCAACAGCGATCCGTGCGGACTATGTCGTTTGATTGCTCGCCAACTATGTTTACGAGTGTCAGCGTCCCCGTGTGTGTCGTTTGGTATGTGCGCGTGGTGTGTAGGGCGCGTAATGGATGGGACCTTCTCGACACCACTGATCATGGAGTCGATGTTCTCGACACCACAGACCATGAGTCCCGAGACGCACATTCGCTTGGCAGAACCGTTTCCTCCTTGTGCGAGATCCGTGCGGCATTTCAACGGTGTGACTACGATCCAGGGATCGACCACAGAGGAATTTGAGGAGGACCCCTGGATGACCATCGTCCCATGCATGGGCAGGCATATCGACGGTTGGTGCGACGGCAATCGGGCCACGATGGAGAGTGACTGCCCTTGCGCAGGCCAATACAATTTCGCCAACATGTTGGAGTTTGGATCCCTCATCCCGCTGCCTGACGCTGTCCTTGGTCACAAGTTCCTGAATCACATGCGCAGAGCCATAGGCTGCATTAGCCGACATTTCAGTCGCCTCGACTGCCAATACGGCACGTCGTTGCCACGAACTTGGGGAGGCTCGTGGAAACACGAGTTGCTGGCCTGCGCTCGACACTACCCGTTTCTGGAGCAGTACCCGCTCCGTTGCCCCAGTAGTTCTCCACAAGTTGTGTCGTACTGTTGAAAGCGGTTGACTGTGTCCAGATCTGATTTCGCGAGGGTTTTGTGTGTCGCTACTTCAAACAAGAGTAGGAAGCTCGTCGATGCAGTTGTGCTTGTGTCACACAACGACATGGCAATTGAGGGGTCCAGACTCGTGGTGATGCGCGGGCCTGTTCGTGTGGATGGATGGACGGATTTGGTGATAGCAGGGCCGGTCCAGAACTTTTCGTTGCATAGGGAGGTCGAGGAGAAAGTGTCCGCCATACAGGACTGTATAGGGAACTCCTTAGCACGACCAGGAGTGTTTGTTAGGATGAAATATATGTCCGTGTTTTCGGAGACTGCAACCGTCGACGATCCGCTGGTCCGCGTTTACGGATCGTATGTGAATGCTTTGTATGGCTACGGTTCGCGACCTCGTCCTCGGCGAACCGCGATTGTCACAAGATCTGGACGTGTGGTTGGACATCCTGCTTAAGCGAAAAGAAGGGAGACGAGTGAGAGGCTTGTGTGCTGCCGAACATGACAGAGTTTTAGTAGTGGTGAAAGGCGCGGGACGCCGTCTCTTTCCGTGTCGCGCCCTCTTGAAGTTCGGATCCCGGCGGACTTCGCGGTTTGGCCTGTGCGTTCTACCGACCTCCGAGCTTCGAGTGCTGGGCGGAGTCGGAAACGGTCCTGCTACCAATTACGCCTGGACTCAATGACTGCTGCCATCAAAACCTGCGGTCCGTTGTGGAACCCCGGGGTTTTTCCTCGTGCGCCTTGGTCGAACAACGTCTTGCGTTTGGACTCGGAGTTGCCATCAAAACCTGCGGTCGGCTGTGGAACCCCGGGGTTTTTCCTCGTGCGCCTTGGTTGAACACCGTCTTGCGTTTGGACTCGGAGTTGCTCCAATGTTTCTCTCTGTCTCTCTTTCTCGCATCCTCCTGAAGTTCGGATCCCGACGAACTTCAGGAGTCGCCTGTCTATCGCCACAAACGGTGGTCTTCCGGATCCCTCATGGATTGCGGCAACAGCCAGAGTTCAAGGAACTATGAAATGTTGACACGGTTGCCGCTTTCGAGCTTGGGTTCATCCAGTGCCAAGCTGTGCATAACGCGAGATCGAAAATCAGAAGTTGTTCGGATTAGGGCGGACTTCTCCATTTCAACCAGCCTTTCATTCCGGTGTGGCCTTCCTGGGTCGGGGTTGAGTTTAACAACCTTAGACTTGCGGATCGTGTGTCCCTGATGTCGTTTCTGCCTGTCGCATCGTCCTGAAGTTCGGATCCCGACGATCTTCACTATTCGGGAGGTGCGTTGCTTTGTCTTGAGTCTTCATGGTTCCGGGTGGGTCGCACAACCCGCCCGGCAACGGTTCCAGAGTGCGTTTGGTCGAGCACGGTTCTGGGACGCTGGCTGCATGGCTGCCTCTCTGTATGTCTCCCTCGCATTGTTCTAGTTTGGATCCCGGCGAGCTTCGGCTGTTGGACTGTCGGGGGTTCCGAGTGCCATGCGGGGAACACTACCCCGTCGAGCGCGAGATTCGAACATGACCGCCAGTTGATTCCTGCAAAAAATTCCCGAAATCTTATTCCGCCATCTCTATCTCACGCACCGTCCTTTAGTTCGGATCCCGGCGGACTTCGTGATTTCCACTGTGCGTTTGTCTATCTTTGTTCTTCAGGGTGCCCCGTGTGCCGCATAAACAGCGCGTGATCCTATGTGCACTGCGAGTTTTCACTTGCTTCTCTCTCTCTCTGTCTGCCTCTCGGTCTCTTGTCCACTTGAATTTCGGATCCCGGTGGACTACCCCTTCTCACCGTTCCGGATTTGGGTGCCCGAATGTCTTCGTGTGCGGCTTTCGCTGCGCTACAGCCTGCGTTGACGTGCGGCAGCGAGTGTTCTGTTTCTCCTGTGTTTTGACAGACGTTGACTTCATGTTGTGTTGTTCAATTTGCGTTGTCGTTCGCAGATAGTACGTCTTCTTCCAAGGGCGAGGTGGAGCCAACAGGGACCTCCGGGAAGGAATCACGAAAAGATTCCACGAGGCGGTCGTCTACTGCCACGCAGAGGTGGTCGAACCATTCGAGGTCGACATGGTTCATCGACTGGTGCTGTGGAGACGCTTCCAACCCCTCTGCGCAGCCATGTGGTACCGTCATCTTCATCGATGACAGCAGAAGGCGTAGAGTGCTTGGTGCCGTCTTGTGGTGGGAGGACGCAAAGGGGGGCCGGCGACATTTCTATATGCAAAAAGTTTATGGCGCCAAGGGCAACGTCGTTGCCAATTCGAAAGGGACGTTGTTGGACCTCGAGTTGTGTGAGGGGTTCGGAGCGGGTGCTGTGAACACCCGGTTCTACAGAGAACTCGTTCTCGGGGGCGGTTTTGTTTTGGCGCGTGAATTTTTCGACATGTTGGAGAACAGAAACATCGCTCTAGACGTCCCCTACGACGTCAACCCATCCCTGGAGCTGTCATTGCCGTTGAAGCTGTGCAGTGGTTGCGAGTCAAGCAGGGCAGCGGCGGAGGGCGGTGATCTGGGTTCTGGTCCCGCCACTCAGCTGCACCGTGGCGAGAGTCGAGGTGAGTTCCACGAAAGCGAGCATGAAGGGACTGCTCCGCCATTGAGTGACACGCGGCGGTCTGTGTTGTATATTCCTGGGGTTCAGACTGATGCTCCGGTTCAGCGGAAGAGTACGGGGCCTGCAGTACAGGTGGCGGCCTATTCGGAGGTCGACTTGGAGGCGAGCAAGGGACAGGGTGTGGAGGAGGTGGACGCGGGAGGCCTGGGCTCGCAAGGAGCTCCGCATACGAGGAGGGGGGATCGTCCAGACGAGTTCGCCAGTTGTATGAAGAAGTTAAAGAGCAAGGCCCCCAGGACTGCGGGGGAGAAACGCAAGGGGACCGAGGGGGAGCAGGGCCGGCAGGTTGCCAAACGACCGTCTTTGAGACAGAAGCAGCCTGCGTCTGGACCGTCTTCTCCACCGACAACAGGGACTCCCATCGATGTCGACGCCGGGTACTTCCTCGAGTACAAAGATGGCGTTCGGACAAAGCAGGAGTTCGACATTAGCCCTGCGCAGGTCGTCGACCTCGGGGACTGGGAGGACATGTACAACCAGCGGTCCCTGGATCCCGTGCTCGTGAAAGGGATCAAAGAAGCGATGCAGTTGGCATTCAAAAACAAAGCGCAGTCTTACGATTTACCAACCCTGAAGCTGGCGCCGCTGGGGCTTGATAAACCGGCTCCGGGGACCAAGGCAGAACGTCTGAGGCCGGAGGATTGGAGGGATGAGCTGGCAGGACAATACTACTACTACGCGGTGTGTGGGCAGCACAACGCGGCTGCCGAGAGGTCGCTGCTCAGCAGCGAGGTGGCCAGGAAATACAATTTTGAGCGGTGGCCTGCACGGATGGTCTACTTTTCGGACGACGACTTCGAAGGGTACTTCCTTGTCAGTTCCCAGGACAATAAGAAGGACCTGAAGGCGCCCCCACGACAGCTGAAGCTGTCAATGAGGGACATTAGGTGGCAGTGGAAGCGCGCCGGTTGCCCGCGTGGTGTTATGAGGAACCCCAGCGGAAAACAGGATCAGGTCCGGAAGTGGCGTGAATTCTGTAATGTCGCACTCAACATGACATCACACAAAAACTTGTGGATTCTCGCAGATCAGCAGGGCGAGGAGGCCATCAGGAAACAAGGCGCTGCCCTGCGTTCCTATTTCCCGTTGGCGATGGCAGGGGAGAACGTCTGGAAACTGGCCGTCGAGTTTTTCGAGAAATGGGAGACAGGCAGATTGCTCGGACACGATGGCGCAAAGTGGATCATGGGGAAGAAGAAAGTAAAAAACGTGAAGCTTGGGGCTGCATACATCCATAATGACAAGCTAGGCAGGAAGGAGGTCGTGTACAACGTCCCTGTGGAGCCACCGACAAAGAAAGGCAAAAAGGAGAAAGAGGAGGGCGAGTGGTTCGTGCAAGTGCCAGAGCCGGACGCGCATTGTTGGAGAACGATGGAGTCGCTGACAGACAACGAGAAGTGCCGCGTCCTGAAGAAGGTGCTCGCTTGCGAGGTGGTTTGGGTACAGGCGGGCTCCCCAGCGTTGGCGAAGCTCAGAAAGCTGAGCGTCCAGGAGGTGGTGAATTTGGTGAAGTGCGACCGGGTGCTGGTGCGTCTGTTGAACTACTACCAGTTCAAGCACGACAAAAGGCCGGACACGGATTGGAGCCAGAGGTTCCCGTTCCTGAAATCAAGGTCCGCAATTTTCAGACAGTTTGAGAGTCGTGGTTTGGATGCTGAGTTGTGGGACGGGAGCACGAAATACGTCACTGACTCCTCGCTGTTCAAGGACTGCCCGCCCTACATGGGCTGCGACGACGACAGATCGATCGAGGCGACGGAGAAGCTGGTGGGTCACAAGAAGCTGTCCGTCGACTGGAGGAATAAGGTCATGTCCGTGTTGAGTGGCAGTAGACTGAAGAGTCGAGAGATCGCGCTCGCCGAAGGCATTGTGCACATAAAATGGAAGACAGGGGCGACGAGACATCCATCGCGCCATTCGGCAACGACCCCTTGGAGGCAGACATAAGGAGTACGGAGGTGAAGGAGGCAGTGGTTGCCACAAAGAGTCACATGTTCGTCCTCGATCTGTGCGAGCCGGTGGACCTGAAGCTTTGAAAACCGCAAGCGTTCGACACTCTGGATTCCCAACTCCATACGTGGTGTCCGTCGCATTGGAAGCTCGTTGTTTTTGTCCCGCGGCAGCAGAACCTCTCCTTTCCGGCCAGCATGAACCATCTTTCTTTCGTCAAGCTGTTGGAAGGGAAGTGGGTGAGGAGGACTCAACAGAAGAAAAGCTTCCCTGTCGGGAACAATTTGTACACGGAAGACGACCGGATGTACATACTCTTCAAAGGCGACGATTTGCGGGCCAACACGTCCGTCGTTTACGAGGGGAAACTGCCGGCAGGCGCCGCTACTGCAGTGCGGGTACCACAGAAGGTTACGCAAACGGATGTGTCTGACATCCCGTTCAACGCTTGCGACTGGTCGCATACCTCGCCTGCACATCGGGGCATTGTGTACGGGGACATGGAACGCAACCCCGCCCAATTCGTTCAGCTTATCGAATCTGTCACCAAGAAGGGGGAGGGTGTCGTCTTCCTCAGGAAGCCACACGCGCGGTCAGTCTGGGAAGTACTGAAGGCAGGACGGCACGTCATCGCGATGGAAGGGAACTCCGAGCTCTTGCAATTTACAATTGATCTCGTCAAAAGTGAGGTCAATTCAGGTGCCCACAATTGCGAGTTCATGGTCGTCACCGAGACTCGGGCTCGCGCGTGGAACAACAAGACAGACATGTGGTTCAAGTTGAGTGCGAGGAAGCGGAACAAGATATACGACTTCTTGTTCCTGCAAACGCGGCCGAAGAGAGACACTGGCGTCAAGTACGTGCGCCGCAAGGACCACATGTTCACGTTGCTCGACAACTACCACGGCGCCTCCCGCATGAACGCGAAGACCTTCCTCGAGAGGTTGAAGTCCCTTTACTTCGTGGAGTCAGAGGAGGAGCTGACGTTCGGCAGTTACTCCTCCTTGATCTCCACGGAAGACGAGGAGACCACCGGCATCGAGTTCGACGCGACCGAGGACGAGGAGGGCAGCAACACCGAAAGCCTCGATCTGCAGCACGACCAGCATTCTGCGCAGCACGCTACAGGGTCGTCCTTGGCAGGTCCGTCGCTCACTGCGTCCCGGGTCTGACATCCCGCCCGATCATCTGTCTTGGACGAATGCCAACATTCACTTCCTGCCTAAGCCTCAAAGTCGTTCCACGGAGGCGGACTGGGGCCATGACATGATTTGGCATCCAGGAGTCATCCAGCCGGCGATCCAAAAGGGTGAGTGGATCGTGGTGGTCGTTGTCCTGGACGGAGGATGGATGTCACTCCCTCGCGGGTCGAAGTCTGACTTCCTAGACGTCGCTAGAATTGCGGTCCTCCAGAAAGTGAGGGCCGAGAATGACTCTTTCGCACCCGAAGACGTGTCCGTCATTTCCACAGCCAGGCGATTGTTCGCCGAACTTTAGGACAAGTGCTGGTTGGAGCTGACGGAGGACTAGTACGACCTCGACACGAGCCCCTCGAAAGGAAGGGTGGACTCGAAAATCCCCCCTCCCAGTGGGACGCATGTAAGTACAGGGTCCCGGGGGCCGGACGGTGGGGAGAACGAGGGCGACGAGGCTGGGGGCGACAAACGAGTCCCGGGGCGACAACACGAGGGCGACGAGGCTGAGGGCGGGTCTTTGGGCGACACCACGACAGCGGAAGGCAGCGGCGGGGTGGCGGGGGAGGCCCTCGGGCGTGTGCAGTCTACCGGTCCCAGTCCAGAAGGCTCGACACAGTCGGCGGACGTGCCCAGTTCATCCGCCTGCTCGGTGATGGCGGCCTTGCTTGCTCTCCGTGTCGGCTCGGTCGAAACGTTCAAGTCCGCCGGGATCCGAACTTCAATGCTTGCAGAGCAGACAGAGAGGATGGACGCGCAGAGCTGGTCAGGACCGGGGGTGGCGAGTTGTCATCCCAAAATAGACAGCGGTGCGGTGAGGGAAGGGACTTCGCCGCCTGTGGGGGATCGCCAACCGCTTCGGTCGGAGCGAGAGGGTGCGTGTGGAGGGCCCGGCGACAGGGAGACGGCGAAGTTCGTCGGGATCCGAACTTCTCCAGGCAAGGCATGTGGAGGGCCCGGCGACAGGGAGACGGCGAAGTTCGCCGGGATCCGAACTTCTTCTGGCAAGGCGTGTGGAGGGCCCAGCGACAGGGAGACGGCGAAGTTCGCCGGGATCCGAACATCTTCAGGCAAGGGGGGCCAACCAGGGATATTGGTGCAGGTGGAAGGGGCTGCGTGCGGCGGGCGGGAAGGGCATTCGTCGGAAATCGACATGGGTTCGGGCGAAGTGGCTGCATTGCATGCAAGGGAAGAGGGCAGGGTGATGGACAAAGAGAAGGAAGTGAAGGAAGGAGACCCAGGGGAGGAATTGGAGGAAGGAGGGGATGAAGGGGAGGAAGAAGAGGATAACGGAGAGGAAAGGGAAGAAACGGAGTTGGCTGGGTTGCTAGGAGGGCAGGAGGGGGAAAAAGGTGAACTCGATACAGGAGACGACGAACGGTCTTTCGGCGACGACGATGACAGATCTGGGGAGTCGTCTGACGAATTCGGGCAACTATACGGAGAACACCGTGAGGAAGACGACGACGACGATGACACGGCACTGGGTATGGAGACACAGGTGGTCACAAGCCTTTCGCCAGAACGTGATGACTATGAGGTCGAAGCAATGACGTCTGTCGTCGATCTCCAACACCGGTTCAACGAAGCTCGTGTAACAGTCCGCCTGACTAAACCGAGTGTGCGTATTGACATCGAAGAAGTTATCGACGGCATCCTGGGCGACCACCACATGTCCGCGCAGCCATCCTCGACGCCTGGTGTCGACGACCCTCTCGACGTCAAACCTTCTGGGGGATCTGTCGTCGATTTCTCGCCGACGAACTCTCCGATGCTGCCGCCGACCATCGCCAGCGGAGGAGAAGGCGGGATTGGGGGACGACAAGATGTCACATCCTCGAAAAAAACTGCCGCCGGCACTCGAGCTCTCGACGTGCTGGCCTTGCCCGCGCCAACTTCGGCGATTAAGGAGCGCAGAGACAAACCAGCTGGCAAGCAGTGACAAACGCCACTCTGTCTTTGCGCCAGTGACTGCAGTGTCTGTCGATGTGGGGAGTTCCTTATAACGGCATGCTACAGCCACCACTCCTTCAAACTTCCAAGTACATGTGAACGACCATCCTGTGAGTCGGCCAGGTCACTGGTCGTGTGCAGGGCGTACGAGACAAAAACATGTGTGTTTTTGTTGAAGCGTTCCCTCACATACTGGAAGGATGGTGTTTCTTTTTCGGAATGAGTGGTGGTTTTAGTCTGCCGGGATCCGCACTGCCAAGGCCGCTGCGTAACGCGGTTACTCTTTCGGTGCCTCGATTGGGAAAAGTCCGCAGGGATCCTGACTTCACAAATGTTTGGCCTCCGGGTTTGTGGCTTGTTGAGGTTTGCCCTTCTGAAGGGCGGGGGTGTCGAGGTCGAACGCACTGCTCCTTTTGTTTTCCAGCGGGGCCTGCGCGAAAGTATTCTCTATCTCTCTCATGGCTAACGGGGCTCTGTAAATAGATAGGTCCTGCGTCTTCTACATGTCGTGGTTCTTGAGTTGTCGTTTTCGTTGGATTCGTCTTGGATTACGTGAGTTCATTTTCCGTTTTCTCTTCCTTCGGTTGCACAGGGGTTGAGTTATCTCCCTGGGTTGGAAAAGTTCGCCGGGATCCGGACTTCAGAGATGTTTGCCTTCCGCTTCTGTGACTTGATGTGCTTTTCCCTTCTGAAGGGCGGGGGTGTCGAGCTCGAGTGCACTGCTCGTTCTGTTTTGCAACGTGGCTCGTGCGGAAGTTCTCTCTCTCGCACTCTCATGGCATGACGGGGTTTTGTAATTGCATGGGTCCTGCGTCTTTTAGATTTCGTGGTCCTTTAATTGTCGTTTCGTCGGGTTCTTCTTCGGAAACGTGTATTCACTTTCCGTGGGGTCAGCTCGAACACGGAGGCCCTCTAAATATCCGGAACACATATTGCATACAGTCCCGGGGTTGACGACAAAACACAAGGACATGTTAAAGGTGTCAGGGGTTGATGTCAAAATCGGGAAGAAGGAGCATGCCATTGCCATGGAGGAGTGTCTTTCCCTTCTGCCCCCAGAGAAAGGGACATATCCACGATCTGTGACTAGGGGTCAGGCCATGTATGAGAAATACTTAGCTACTCGTCGTGCGATGAAGGAGAATCCTAAGTGTTCCGTTTCTCACTTCCCCCYCTGTCCTTTGCTCGATGTTGTGCAGTGCGGGCCACGGCACCTGGAACAACAGTGACTGCGATTGGAAGCTTGCGGGTTTTGGACGACATTGAACGAGGCTTGGTGCCACGTGACATTGTACTCTCGACCCTTCGCGATGGTCAGTTGCGAATTGCAGCGAAGGATATTCTCACCCTCTCACTTACCAACGGCAGGGTGAATGATGAGGTGGTCAACTTCTACATGGCGCTATTAGGAACGACCGCATATGGGACAAGTGACATCCCGCCAGGCCTTCGAGTCTTCACCTTTAATTCTTTCTTCTTCAGTAAACTGCAACTTCAAGGGCACGGCGGGGTGGAAAGATGGGCTAAAAACGTGTATCTGCTTAAATATAATATTATCTTTGTTCCAGTCCTCAAAGATAATGATCACAGGATCCTCCTTTCCGTGAGCTTGAGAGATAATGTTCTTGAGATTTTCGATTCTTTTCCTTGCGTTGTAGTCGATTCTAGTTTTTACCTTAGTGTTTTCGAGTTGATCGTACACTATTTGGAATTTCAAACATCACATAGGCGGTCGTGCAGGCGCTGGAAGTTGGTGGCAGCAAATGTTGTTATAGAGGGAGTTCCAAGACAAGTAGATGGAGTTAGTTGCGGGGTGTTTATGTTGATGTTTGCGACACTGTTGCAACGTGGCGATCGACCGCCTTTCAAGTTCTCTTGTAAAAATATTCCGTATATTAGACGACAACTGGCATCATGTATCTTGGAATACCGTTGTCTTTGATGGATTCGATTGATTTGCAAACTTCTGTTTTTTCACAACGACATTACTTTCTTTCAGTGTTGCGGGTTTGAGTTGTCTTTGGTATGTTGACTGTCAGTTTGGTGTCGCGTATTGCCTTCGGAATCTCTGTCAGGTCCGGCTCGTCTATCGTGTCATTACATTCATCGCATTGCAGTCCTCGTTGCAAATTGTGTCCAGTTCATCCAAAGTTGTGCATATAATTCACCTCGAAATGATATTCGTGTGTGTGGTGCGACATGACCAATTAGAGTGTGGATGCAAGACAAATCTCGGCGAGTGTGTAGGTGTGAGGTTCGTTATGCAAAGAGTGAATGACCAGTGACATCATGTCTCTTGTGTGAATAGACAATCATGTACTTGTGACCGCCTGAATTACATGTGACCGACAATTTTGCGTTCTTGACCGGGAAAAATAAATTGTATGTCAAAAATAACAGTTAATGTTTGTACTTCTAAAGAAGTCTGAATCTCTACAACATCCAGACAACCGCCTCGGACGAGACGATAGCCATGCATGTACAACTCACGCATAAAAGAAATAAATAGTATTATCCAACAAGGATTCAATCATGACACCTTGCTCATCACATTCACAAACTTGAAGTTAGACAAGCGTGGCTCCCGACACACTATCGCACATGCATCCCGGATGGCCCGGATGGGCGTGCCTGTCGCTACTCTACGTCTTCTAATATAATTATCCAACGAGGATGCAAACATGACACATTGCTCGTCACAATTATGGAATTGAAGTTTAACAAGTACGGATCCCAGCACACTTCCGCACAGCGTTCCCTCATGCTCGTGCCTGTCGTTATTCGTTTATGAAGTTTAACAAGTGCGGATCCCGACACACTTCGGCACAAAATTCACGACACATTTCCAAAGTTCAACAAGTAAGGCTCCCAACACACTTCTGCACAGGGTTCCCTGATGGGCGTGCCTATCGTTATTCGTTTATGAAGTTTAACAAGTACGGATCCCAGCACACTTCCGCACAGGATACTCAGCAGTGCCATGTTTTTGAAGTTCAGCAAGTAAGGATCCCGACACACTTCCACACAAGGTTCCAGTGCGGCGTGCCTAACATGTACAGGTTTGAACACGCTTCCTCATTTGGGATATCATTTATAAAGTTTCACAAGTATAGATCTCAACACACTTCTGCATGTGCTTAAGTCGTGGATGGGCGTGCCTACATTGTTTGGAATGCAGCCAAAAATGAATTCGTTAGAAAGAGGACACAGTATAATGTCCTATTTTAACGAATAACATGTTTTGATTGATTGATTGATTGGTTGATTGATTGATTGAGTGGTGGGGGAGGGGTCGCCCCACCCCCCCGCCACCCACCACATGCGCGCACATACACGCACACACACACACACACACACACACACACACACACATATACATAGCACAGGGACGGGGAGCAAGGACTGTTGAAAAGAAAGGGAGTGGATTCATCAAGAACAAGGGGCAGAAGGTAATAACAGATAAAAGTCGGACGAAGCAACTGATAAATGGGTAAGAGACGAGAAACTCTGATGCGGAACAATAACCACTTCGTATACCATAGGGCGATGTACCCCGATCGCCATACGAGCCTGTCCCGAGCTTATTACAACCCGGGATGTTCGCGATGCACGACACTTATGAGCCAGGAAAAGACTTACAACTCGTAATAAGCTCGAGTCCGATTATGCGCACGCCGCACAACCCGTGCGCACAATAAAACGAATAACGAAGATGTGCATGAATCGATTGATTCTTGAATGGCTTCCTCTCTTTCCCTCCTCTCAATTTTTTTCTCCTTTTTTCCTTTTCTTTCGCTCCTTTCTTTTCATATTTTCCTTAGCGTATCCGTATACGGATCTCCAACAGTGACATTTCGTGCAACTCGGCAGATAATCAAAAGTCGCTCTCCTCCTTCTTTTTTTTCCTTTTCCTCTTTTTTTTTTTTTTTTTTTTTTTTTTTTTTTTTTTTTTTTTTTTTTTTTCCTTTTTTTTTTTTTTTTTTTTTTTTCTTTTTTTTTTTTTTTTTTTTTTTTTTTTTTTTTTTTTTTTTTCTTTTTTCTCCTCTTTTTTCACTTTTTTCGATACGGACACAGACCATCAGTAGTGACGTTTCACTTTACTAGACGGGCAATCAGAAGACGTGGGGTATGAACCCTCCCCATCAGAGAATACTGTTCCCGATGTTTCTGCATGATGTTATTTTCGCTTTTTTTTTGTTCTATTTTTGTTTTTTCTGTTGTTTCTTTTTTGATGTGCATAGTCTCCCGCCTCACATTACCAATAACGTTTTGTATTGCCTACGAGCAATATCTCTCGGAAAGTGACGACGACGGGACACTATTTGAACAGGCGGAATATCCCTCGGACTCGCATCATCGGATCTGTATAGAAGCTTTCCTCCCGGCCGTTATTCAAGGTTACGGACCGAGCGGCGATAGGCTTTCCAGCTGACAGGAGATCGGGCAAGCGGCGAGACAACAGTGCTTCGCAGGTGCCTTCGCCATGGATTACGAGGTGGATCAAGAATTGTTTGACCGAGTGATCGATGACGAAGAAGACAGGGTATCCTAACCGTTGCGGTGGATCACGATACGCCACGCATGCGCCGCAAAGTTGCACGTTCCCCCACTTTTCGCACTGATCTCACCCTGCACGCTAGGAATTAAGTTGCGAATGATGCTAGTCTTCTTTCCGTTTCAATTCTTGCGTTGGGCAGTTTGCAAACTAATCAAGTTGGTATCCATGGTGTTGGACAAGGAAGGAGCGGAGGAGAAGATGGGGGTAGCTATCGAGATGTCTGCCTATGTCCTGCTTGCTTTTGTTGCCTTGCTTGCTTTCTTCTCTTTCCTCGCCTTCTTACACCACCTGCAAGTTGTGCCATCGCCTACACCGCTCCGACTCCCGAAGCACTTATGATTGAAAAGCAGGTGTTCCCTTTGATGAAGTCGTGTACTTGTGGCTAGCGGCAGAAAAGCGCTTCAGGGATCGCCACTTCCCTCCCTGCTTTGGCTGTTGTGGCAGATCTCCCATACTACGTGGAACTGCGACTAGGGATGCAGCAAGTTTTTTCATGATCTTCTTCCAGACGTGTATGCGCGTCATGTTGTCTGTTGAGTGGCATGGTGAGGAGAGCGGAGACACTTCAGTTCTTGGGCCGGAAAGAGAAGGCATTCTTTTGTAAGAAGGGTGACGTTCGATGTGTAATCGATTTGTGTTTTCTCTTAGGTGTGAATTCCGACCTGTGTATGGATGAATGACAAGAATCACAATGCATGCTTTTTGACGCCGCCAGGCATAGTATCTATCCACGAATCATCCGTCCAGAATCGAAGAAAGGACTGGATACTAATATGGGTGGCGCATATCGTTTTCATATGTTGATCTTTGATGATCGTACTGATGATATAATCACCACACACTACTTGAAAGATCTACAACCTCCTGACGAGTGGGTGAAACTCCTACGAAACAGTTTGTCACAGCCCCTTGTTTGTTGTCCTCTCTTCTCTCTCTTCCCTCTCTCTGCGTATGGGTTAATGGGCAGTCCTATTTGCAACAATATATATATATATATATATATATACATGATATATTTTGGCAAAGGGGGGTTACCTTGAGCATAGTATCTATCCACGAATCGACCAACAAGATTGACGAGTGGGTACTGTAATGGATGGAGCCGTTCGCTCTCTTGGGTTGTTTCCCGATCCTTGTATTGTTGCAGTTCCTCGTTGCTTGGCTCATACTTTTCCTTCGGCGATAATGGCCCCTCTCAAACATAGTATCTATCCATGAATCAACCGACGAGATCGGCGAATGGATTGGTTACTATGATGAGTGGCGTCGTTCGCTCTCATATGTTGGAATCACGATCTCTGTATGGATTGGTGCTATAATCAANTGTTGGAATCACGATCTCTGTATGGATTGGTGCTATAATCAAGATGCATGGCTTATATAGATATACGTATGATGTATTTCTGTTGATGAGCAAGGTTGCCTCCAGACATAATATCCATCCACGAATTGACYGACAAGATCGRMGAAAGGATTGGSTACTATGTTGGATRYCACCGTTCATAYTCGATCTCATGTCTTGATGACGCAATAATCACGACGCATTGCTTATAGTATATTCRACGAGCATGATTGCCCCYAGACATAGTAYCCATCCACGARTCGACCAACTGAAACGGCTTATGGATTGRATATTATGATGGATGACACCGATTGCTYYCGATTTCTTGTATTGTATGCATGGAGCTCTGGGATAGATGTCGCGTTTCTACCCTAGGATTTCGCGGGGTATATTGCACCTCTTCGTGTTGCTGTCGGTGCACACTTTCATCTTGATCCATGCACGACWAAGGGCYTGTATGTAYCGGTCCCCCAACCCACTGCTACAACCGCAATCATACCACYGACTTCRASTAGAAAGGCTCATTTCACGATTATTTTTTCCTAATGAAAGCTACTCAGTTAGAAWGATACASCCATCTGTACCAATGGGSTAGATGGTCTGATAGAGGTATCTATATGTYTGGGTGATGWATTAATTGCATGCACCGGATAGAATGAAGCTACTGATCTGACCTGCTGTCYCGACGAAGGTGCCAGCATAGAACGTCTRATTTGGATCATACAGGTGACGCCGAATGATTATTCCCATGATAATGATCACAAGAACGCACTTGCRCCACGTGCCCTTCCACGTGGCTACTCACCATGGACGAAGCAACGGGGCACAGACAACCCCACGCATTSATATAAAAAGRAAAAAACGACGTTTACATGRCAATCTCCAGATACAGATATACCGATGGATTCCTACGCCCCTACGTAAGTATCAAATATATTACGCGCACCCTACCGCTTGCACCCACACCCTTGCATATRGATATAAAACCCACARAAAAATAACGACGATCACAAGATTTTTCTRAGCACGAACTTCTCGATGAATTCCTACGCCCCCACGTAAAGACCGATTATATTATGCACGCCCGATCATTTACACTCACAATCCTTTGCTCTTATTTTCCAACTGAAAGATGTGTGTCCTCCCTCTGATCTATTCTACTCAGTGTACTCACCCCCCGAAGAAGACGTCTCTCTTGGCCTATCGGTTTGCATACACGTGGGACAGGTCCTAGTCATGAGGCACGCATCAGAATCCTATGGATGGGTTGTGTGGCTTGAGAAGTCCTGTGCTCGCCTGAAGATAATAACGGGGGTGTGCCGATGTRTTAYTTCGGAGCTTTACTGCAATACGGTTCCCGTATCTTGCGACGACATGCTTGCCATGGAGCACACTAACACACACACGGGGGGAACCCCCCGTCAGCGCTGTTGGCGGTGTGTCMTGCCAACCATAYYCCTGGGAAGCAGGCAAAATGTCGCACRGGCAGTCGCCAAGGAAAACCAGGTCAGATAGGAAAATGCSAGKGCATGGSATTACCTTGTCCAYGTAATCTGCAAAGAAAAKATKGGAGTGGGTCGACATTCCTCCAACCTCTCTTGTTTCAGWTGGTATATACTGTGTCGTGCGTATGYACATGTTTGTTTGTCTGTGTGTTGTTTTTGTTGTATTTTCRTTTGCTGCTGCAGATTCCGCCAAAGRAATTCTTCCKGGGGTGATGGTGGGACGAACTCACCCRTAAGTACGAGTGGCTGAAGGAGCAGCCATAGCCCAGCAAACCGGCCCAAGCGCTCMTTGCCAYGCTGAAGCCYGAGATCYTKGAMRCAATGAAGASAATGGTCRAGACGGGGGATTTTTCGAATTTCTTTCGCATGATTGGATTTAGTGATATTGCTAACCTTGCGTGYGTCTGRGATCAGGGGAAAGATGCTTTTGTAGCCAAACTCCTAGACAATGCCGCAAGACTGGAGGTAAGGAAGACGGAGTATGAAAAAAAATKCATGGAACTGCYTGCCWGAAYRGCRAAAGTTGAACAGATGTTTCTTAAGATTTGGGGACTGGATCACTCGCATCTGCAGGGGCAGGCCGCCGAAACACCTGCGGTTGGCTGCACAATCGCCGGAGCTCTTGCCCTAGACAACGAGGAGATGGCGGAACTAAAYGCAGCCACAGCCGCAGTAACCGCTACTGCCAGCTGCACCCCGGAAARGGCCTCATCCTCCCAAGGTAGGCAGTATACTGTGTTTGCACCACTTCCATGCTTGCACTGGGTTGAGCACATGAGCACTGGGTTCATGCATGCGCTCTGGAAACTCGATACCTTCAACCATCTTGCACCATTCTCAGTAAAAGCCCTCATCGTCCTCGCCAACCTAACCAACGAGGAAGTTGCCACGTGTAAAGCAAATGCAATGACTGGCACACTCCCGTATTGCCCCCCAGGGAAGAAAGCTTTCAACCCGACTCTCCTCACATTTCCCCTAATGTCAGCCCTCGACCATATGAAATGTGAGTACTCCAGTCCGGTGATGTGGCAAAAGAAGGTTAAAACTTCCCAGGAGATTGACCTCAAGGGTCTCAGGAAGAGTTGGAATGTCGGACCACCTTACCTTAGATGCAGATGCGCGACGGAGAGGAAGAAGGACTGCGGAGTGGGACCGATTTGGATGGACCATGCGATTTGGTATCTGCTAGCGCACCTGGACATCCTATTCCCCAACATCGCCTTCGTCAAGGTAAGGATCTCTACCTTCATCCACTTTTTGCGAGTATCGTGGAAACCCGCAGTGGAGGCCTAACTCACCTTCATGTTCATTCGGGAGATCATGACCAAGGTAATCTCCGCACTTGAGAAAGATCCATCCCTCACCCTTGAATCCGTTATTTGCAAGGAGAAATGGAAATCCAATACCCCTCTAACCATCAGTAGGGTAGTGCTTCCCACAAGGATCACTTGCAATCCGAGGGTCAGAACCAGGGGCGCACGATACGAACAAGGGTACGCCTAGAAAAGACAACGGAACAACCCACCTGTAGTCGTCTCTCCCCGACAACGGGTGCTTCCCTTTGAGCCCATGGAGAGGGCGAATAAGGCGCAGTAAATGAACCCCCCCAGAGACCCCCCGCACCACGTGGCTCCCGCAGACCAGCCGGGATCACAAGACCGATTGGGATGCATGAGTCCACCGGAGGAGCAACTCGGAGATAGGGGGCTACACAACATGGTGATAGGAGGGCAAAACGCTAGGGGCAGGAGCAGCTCACGATTGCTTGCCTCACAGGCAGGGTCGCCGATCTCCACGGCGGAATCCACAAGAAATAGCGGACTACGGAAGAACGGGTCGTCTTGCGGAAGCAAAAAGGGAAGGAGGGGTTGTATCGGCACTTCCTGACGAACACGCACAGAGATTTGAAACCCCCACGTGATTGACGCCCTGATGCGTCATCCATCCGTTACTACTCAATGGTTTTTTTTAATTCCTCTTTCCTTAATATGTTTCCTCCCCCTTTTTTTCTCTTCTTCTTCTCTCTTCCCTCTCGTTTCTAAGTTTCCGTTTTGTGCTTCTATCCATGAACGTGATATATATCTGCATCTATAGACAATACTTGACAGAGGAAGATCCTCCAGCCGCTCTCTCTCTCCCTTCTCCCTTGAAGTTCCCTCCTCGTCATACACACTAGGATCGATCCCATCTGATAACGAACCCCCCCGTCTATGAGTTGTCGTGCACTACGCAGGATGAGAGCTTCGACCCGGAAGGAGGAGGCAGCATGATCGTGCTCCCCTCAGGAAGATCCGCATGGAGAAGAAAGGAGCGGGAGCAGAACCAATTTGTACACGTCAGATACACGAGTAGGCTTATGGAGGCGGTTCCTCTGAGGAGTATGGTATTGGAGGCGCTCAGGCAGGTGATGGGGGAAAGATCGGCRGATTGGCTTGAAGACGTGATCATCGCAYGGAAGTATGACAAAGCCTGGGAGCCAAGATTTGCAAGCCGGCGGCGGTGTTCACGAAATTTAAGACGGATGAATGGGAGGAAGGATATATACCTRAGTTCTGCCAATGCGGCGCAAGGAGGCATGCCGAGTTCCTCAACGCTGCCACCATAAAGATGCTCCCAGAGGAAGGTACCTTGCACGTCGTCACCAATGACACCGACATTACAAATAATGGCCAGCTGCAGCTCATGCTCAATGCGGGTCTGAACCACATTCCACTCAGGGCGCTCGATGAGGAKTTTGCACTGGACGAAGTCAAGGTGGCACTGGATAAGATACTGACCACACGAAGAYGCGATGAGGAGCTGTCCTTGGGGGAGGAGAGGCGAATCAAGACGTTGGCTCGGGAGAATGCGAAGAAGCGCGTCAAGAGCTTTCGGACGAAGCATATGCATATTACAGGCGAGCCTATTAACAGCACGGCAGTGAGAAGCGAGATCGACTGGCTGACAAGTCGATATCTGGTCTATCCGACGGACAAGGCGCCACACACCCCCACGTTCGTGTGCATCAACCTTATCAGGAAACTAGCATTGCAGAGGCTTTCGGGGTCGGACTTCATACCGCTCCCAGATTCACCGGAGCAGGTGGCGGCAAGGCTGGTACAAGAAGCGGCAGCCTTCACTCACGAAGGGCATGAGGCACTACCGCTCCCACACCTCATGACTGTGTACAAGGCGAACAAGCGATCATTAAGGTGGATAACGAACTCTGCAGGATCGGTACTCTCCCCGGTGGCGGACATTTGTGATAGACTGTTGAAGCGCCTAGCTCAGGATGTTCAGGCCCTCTGCACTAGCAGGGCAGAAGAGGTGCATGCCGAGCAGGGGGTTAAACCCAACTTCTGGTGGCCGATCTCCTCGATCGGGGAATTCGTCGCCAACCTCCCGCAACGCATCTACTCCGTCTTCACAGGGGATAGCACAAGGTGTTTCGAGACGATACCCACGGACGGACCGGAAGACGGTCTGCTGGAGGCAATCAGATTCTTCGTTCGCTACGCCATGGAAAGGGGAAGGGCGGGAACAGCCAGAGATGTGATTGCGATCGGAGTCGCAGCCAACGACACGCTACACCCCTACTGGGTGAATGGTGATCAGGACAGGGATAATGAGAGGCTGTACTTCGACGAACAGGGGATCATCGATGTCTGTGAATGGCTCCTCTCCAACGGAGTGGTACATATGGGAAATAGGGTCTGGAAACAGGTCGTCGGGATTCCCATGGGTCTTGCCTGTTCTCCCATCTTATGTGACGTGTATTTCTTTAAGTACAAATACTGACTAATCTCTCGCCTAGTCGAATTGCAGGATTGGGTCGCGGTTGAGTGTTTCCAAGACACCTATAGATACATAGACGATCTGTGTTCTCTAAACAACACGATCATTGCTGAGCTCCTCAAGGACGATGCACACGACCAGAACCCAGGTCACAAGATCTACCCACACAAATTCATTGAAGTAAAGGAAACGACCGAGGTCGTTATCGATGGGCATAGTCAGGCTGCTAACTTTCTCAACCTCTCATTGACGGTCTTGTCCTCCATGAATGGCACATACTTTACCTCAAAACACGATAAGAAGAAGGGACTCTCATTTTCCCCCGTAAGATTCGTGAAATTCAGATCCAATCGTTCCATTTCGCAGTCGCTACAAATCCTAACTGCTGAGACTGTCTTGACCCTCATCATTTGTTCCGATGAGCAAGAAACCGCTTTGGAGATCAATAACTTGGTACAAACCATGGTTTCAAACGGGTTCGGAAGGAGGGAATGCTGGAAGGGGGTGGATAGGGTTTTTCACAACAGACAGAAGTACCAGCCTGGGAGGATGGTTGACGAAATGGTGAAAGCTAACCTGATTACCAGATTTCGCATGTACTAATTTGTTTTCTATGGTGTCTGTGAGTGTGTGTGGAGACCGGGGGGCTACGGGCCGGAAGGGCCTAAAGCCTCCTGGCATCCAGCTTTCCGGCCTGTGGCCCACCTTCCAGTGGGACAGGGGCGGGGCACACACACACGCACACACACACACACACACACAGAGATACAGAGCAGAGGGTCAAGGAGCAAGGACTGTTGAAAAGAAAGGGAGTGGATTCATCAAGAACAAGGGGCAGGAGGTAATAACAGATAAAAGTCGGACGAAGCAACTAATAAATGGGTAAGAGACGAGAAACTCTGATGCGGAACAATAACCACTTTGTATACCGCAAAGCGATGTACCCCGATCGCCATACGAGCCTGTCCCGAGCTTATTATAACCCGGGATGTCCGCGATGCGCGGCAGTTATGGGCCAGGAAAAAGACTTACAACTCGTAATAAGCCCGAGTCCGATTATGCGCACGCCGCACAACTCGTGCGCACAATAAAACGAATATCGGAAACGTGCATGGGACGATTGATTCTTGAATGGCTTCCTCTTTTCCCCTCCTTCCGATTTTTTTCTTCTTTTTTCTTTTTCTTTCGCTCCTTTCTTTTCATTTTTTCCTTGGCGTATCCATATACGGATCTGCAGTAGTGACGTTTCGTGCAACTGGGCAGATAATCAAAAGTCGCTGCCCTCCTTCTTTTTTTCCCTTTTCCTTTTTTTTTTTTAATTTTTCTTTTATTTATTTTTCTCCTTTTTTTCTTTTTCTTTTCTTTCCTCTTTTTTTTTCTTTTTTTTCTTTCCTTCTTTCTTTTCTTTTTTCTTTTTTCTTTTTTCTCCTCTTTTTTCACTTTTTTCGATACGGACACAGACCATCAGTAGTGACGTTTCACTCTACTAGACGGGCAATAAGAAGACGTGGGGTATGAACCCTCCCCATCAGGGGATACTGTTCCCGATGCTTCGGGATGCTGCTATTTTTGCTTTTTTTGGGTTCTATTTTTGTTTCTTATGTTGTTTCTTTTTTGATGTGCATAGTCTCCCGCCTCACGTCACCAATAACGTTTTGTATTGCCTACGGGCAATATCTCTCGGAAAGTGACGACGACGGGACACTATTTGAACAGGCGGAATATCCCTCGGACTCCCATCATCGGATCTGCGTACAAGGTTTCCTCCCGACCGTAATTCAAGGTTACGGACCGAGCGGCGATAGGCTTTCCAGCTGACAGGAGATCGGGCACGCGGCGGGACGACAGTGCTTCGCAGGTGCATTCGCTATAGATTACGAGGTGGATCAAGAATTGTTGGACCGAATGATCGATGGCGAAGAAGACAGGGTATAAGCCTCCTTGCCCTCGCCACCAGCATATCCTAGTCGTTGCGGTGGATCACGATACACGACACATGCGCCGCAAAGCTGCACGTTCCCCCTCTCTTCGCACTCATCTCACCCTGCACGCTAGAAATTAAGCTGCGAATGATGCTAGTCTTCTTTCCGTTTCAATTCTTGCGCTGGGCAGTTTGCAGACTAATGGACCTGGCATCGATGGTGTTGGACAAGGAAGGAGTGGAGGAGAAGATGGGGGTAGCTATCGAGATGTTTGCCTATGTCCTGCTTGCTTTTGTTGCCTTGCTTGCTTTCCTCTCTTTCCTCGCCTTCTTACACCACCTGCAAGTAGTGCCATCGCGTACACCGCTCCGACTCCCGAAGCACTTATGATTGAAAAGCCGGTGTTCCCTCTGATGAAGTCGTGTACTTGTGGCTAGCAGCAGAAAAGCGCTTCAGGGATCGTCACTTCCCTCCCTGCTTTAGCTGTTGTGGCAGATCTCCCATATTACGTGGAACTGCCACTAGGGATGCAGCAAGTTTTTTCATGATCTTCTTCCATATGTGTATGCGCGTGATGTTGTCTGTTGAGTGGCATGGTGAGGAGAGCGGAGACACTTAAGTTCTTTGGCCAGAAAGAGAAGGCATTCTTTTGTTACAAGGGTAACGTTCGATGTGTAATCGATTTGTGTTTTCTCTTAAGTGTGAATTCCGACTTGTGTATGGATGAATGGCAAGAATCACAATGCATGCTTTTTGACGCCGCCAGGCATAGTATCTATCCACGAATCATCCGTCAAGAATCGAAGAAAGGACTGGATACTACTATGGGTGGCGCATATCTTTTTCATATGCTGATCTTTGATGATCGTACTGATGATATAATCACCACACACTACTTGAAAGATCTACAACCTCCTGACGAGTGGGTGAAACTCCGACGAAACAGTTTCTCACAGCCCCTCGTTTGTTGTCCTCTCTTCTCTCTCTTCCCTCTCTCGGCGTATGGGTTAATGGGCAGTCCTTTTTGCAACAATATATATATATATATATACATGATATATTTTGGCAAAGCAGGGTTACCCCGAGCATAGTATCTATCCACGAATCGACGAACAAGATCGACGAATGGGTACTATAATGGATGGAGCCGTTCGCTCTCTTGGGTTGTTTCGCGATCCTTGTATTGTTGCAGTTCCTCGTTGCTTGGCTCATACTTTTCCTTCGGCGAGAATGGCCCCTCTCAAACATAGTATCTATCCACGAATCAACCGAAGAGATCGGCGAATGGATTGGTTACTATGATGAGTGGCGTCGTTCGCTCTCATATGTTGGAATCACGATCTCTGTATGGATTGGTGCTATAATCAA